CGAAATTTACAATTTTCGCCGATTAAGTTTTAAAAATTCGTATAAAATCTATTTCTTGGAATATGAGTATGAAAATTTCCCATAGTGTTAATAAGAGTGTCCTCTTTCCAATGAACCAACACGTTTTGAAAAATAACTTTTACTTTTTGAGAAAACAATATTTGAAGTTTTGATAAAATTTCCGATGTTGCAATTTGCTTCGATAACTTTCAAAATTCGCTATAAAACTAATTTCTTGATGGATCCTTGTGGAAATATCACCAATTATTAATTAAAGTATACTCTATTTCATAAAATTATGTAAAATTCTTTAATTTTGCTTACTTGTACATATTCCCACATTAAAATCATTGCAAAATGGTTAACATTCAATTTTATTTAACACTAAAAAATATCAAAATAAAATTAAAGATATCAAAGACGCTGTTTAAGTGAAAGCATTGATATTGAGAATCGGTAGGATATAGAAAATGGCACCAAGCGAATACACATACATCAAACCATGCGAAATTACATCATTAACTCTACCATATTTAGTATTGGTCATTCATAAAACTAGAAATATATACCTTAGCAAATAGCTGGGAAATATTTCTAATTATGAATCTGATTACATTTTTGAAGATCCCAAAAACTACTACAATGTGTCAGCGATTGGTAATATGAGATTCATTTAAATGAGGAGATTAGTACATATGTGATCGATACTGTTTTATAGATATCAATGCTTTACATTTACAATGTTCTTTTACTATAGAAAGTGAATAGCATTCATTATGGAAACCGCAAGATTTTTCGAAAAGCCATAATCAAAGCAAAAGTTGAAAGTACTTTAAAATTAGACAGCTGCATACGTTAGGCATGCCGATGAAAGGTTAAAGCAGCGTTTTCGAACATTGGTCTTCATTAGTGATGGAACGGATAGTGATTCTCCGAAAAGCCGGATACCGGATATTCGGCATCCCCTTCGGCCGGATATCCGGCCATTATGGTTATAATTTCTGGTGCATTTCTGAATTTTCTCTTAACTCTAAAAAGAGGATACTTTAATTAATAGTTGGCGATATTTCCACAAAGATCCTTCAAGAAATGAATTTTATAGCGAATTTTGAAAGTTATCGATGAAAATTGCAACATCGAAAATTTTATCAAAACTTCAAATATTGTTTTCTCTAAAACTAAAAGTTATTTTTCAAACCGTGTTGGTTCATTGGAAAGAAGACACTTTTATTAATACTTTGGGACATTTTCATACTTATATTCCAAGAAATGGATTTTATACGAAATATTAAAATTTAATCGGCGAAAATTCCAAAATTCGAAAAAATTGTCGATTATCAGATTGTCAGCTATGTCTTGATAGGAAACGCAGCCGAAATGTAATAAAATACAACTTCTGTTATTAAAGCGATTTTTACTCTCTTTTCATACTGTGCTTAGTTATGCTTGATTTGTTGGTCTAAAACATCTCATGCAGAAATGCGCAGAAGCTCCGCTAGCTTTCTCGAAAGTTTACTGCCTTGTATTCGAATGATCTGTTTATTGACTTTTGCTCACAACCATAATCTTCATCATATTGCAGCATTAAAGCAGAAATCTTCGCAAAAACTCAAAATTTTTAATACAATTGGTTGTGAAAATTGTAATATCACACATCGTTTTTAATTTATATAATACTAAAGGTCTCAATTTCTTTTGTGTAACAATACTGTATAATCATTGTTGAAATATATCTCGATTTTTTAAAACAATTAAATTAATTAACTTGGAAAATAAAAATGTGATAAAACTAAAAGATGCGTTGTAAGGCGATCTATTTCACAAAAAATATACAGGCTGTCCCACCTAAGTTGCCTCGGTACATAGCCGAATTATGATTGAGTTTTCCAAAAAATGTTTCAGATAAAAGTTGAATCGAATCATATTGTCAATATTTTAAAATTAGGTTCAGTAATGGCGGACTTCCGCTTCTACCGGAAATGGATATCAACTTTGTTATTTTAAATGGAACAGCCAGTATATTATTGCATTTTTTGATTCTTTGTGAAATTTCAATGGTACTTTGTTAAGGATACCTTCGGTCTAAGGGTACGTTTTCGTAAGGACAAATCCGGCCCGACATGTTTGTTGGACGACAAGTTGTCAAAATTAACGTGTGTTTACGTAGGTACTTGTCGGCAACCGACATGTCGTGGTAACGATCTGAAAATCGAACTCTGCAGTTAGCATCAAGATGGCAGACGATCAAGTCGAACAAGTAGTGTCAGGTTTCGTGGTGTTGGCAGGAAGTCTTGCAATAAAGTTATCAAAACCACAAAAGAATTCACTTTGAAAACGCAAAAGGTGGTATATTAGAAGCTTTTTAGCGAAAAGACGTTTCAAAAGTGCATACAGAACTTTTTATTTTATTGAAATGACTTGCAACATGGATTCCCAACATAATATATGATCACAACACAAATTAACGACTGTTTAGGTAGGGACAAATGAACGGTGACCCGACATGTGCGGTTGATTTTTGTATCCGACACCGACATGTCATTTTACTGTCCCAACAAAACGTTATAACCGACAAGACGACCGACATGTCTGCCGACATGTTGTGTCCTGACGAAAACAAGGCTTTCAAGTATCGTTTTTGAATTATATGACGATTTTGGAAAAAAATTACATTTGAAGCGTCTTATAAATTTGGTAATATTGCCGAAACTGTAAAACCTAGAAAGATTTGGTTTTCTGTTTTGAATTAACAATAAAACAATTTTATTCCATTTCTTGTTAACGTTGGGTACCCAGATTTTGTAATATTTACTAAATTTCAACCTGGATAATACAAAATTTATCGGTCCCTTAACTTCTTATGTGTCAATGTGAGTAGTCAATGTGTCTTATGTGTCCTCCATCACTTCGTCCTTCTCAAATCGTTTTTGTGGCCTCTCTCTTGGTATCTGGCTCATTCGTGCTACATGACCAATTCATTGCAGTCTTTTCAACCTGACGAATTCTGAGATAGGGGCTTCCTTGAACTGATGGATAAGTTCTACGTTCTATCTTTATGGGATCAAAAATTTTTCTTTAGTATCTTTCTTTCAAATACTTCCAGCTAATTTTTTTGGGAATTCTGTTATAATCCATGTCTCGCATCCATATCATAGTCGGTGGGATGTTTTTTCTTCTCTCTATAGTTTGGAGAATAATGAGCCCAGTTCAATAATTATGTGTTCGCCCCTGAGCTTGTACAACTCTGGGAGGAGGTTATCAATACCAGACATCTTGTTCTTTCTTTATGCCTTAATACTTTGTTTAATCTCCACTTTGTTATAGAACTCTGCGAGGAAAAAAAATGTCGGACAATGTAATTTTATTTAAACATATTGGAAGGTATCTCACGGTGACAACTGACTGTTTATTAAATTCCACGTTCTAATTTATTTAAATATTAGTTTTATTTACTCATTCGTGTAAACGTGTAATGCGTAAAATTATCATCTTTTCTAATATACTCAAAGAAAAGAATACATCAATATGTCGAAAGTTCTATTTCTTAACAAAAAACCAGTCCTAATGTAATCTCAAAAAAATAAATAAATAATGAGAAATCCACCGAAAAAATTAAGCAACAATAATTTTTTTAAATAACTTTTCTTTTCATTTTTAAACCTCGTCTCAGTTGTTAAACACACCAACTGTCGCTTATGCAATAACGAAAGGAGGAGGACTCGATAAAACCGCGCCATTCAAAAGCGTTGTCGTGAAAAAGGCACCTCTATTGCAAAACGATTGTGTTGCACTATACTTTAACTTTAAAATACCGAACGGCGAGAGTGATTAAGAAACGTAAATAATGTAAGGCGACAACGACTGATGATAAAAAAAATATACATAAATAAATATGCATTCTTTAAATGTCGGCTTTTAAATACCTTAAATGTACGGTTCGATTCAATTGAGCAATAAGTAGTTTTTACCAATCGTTTCTTATATTTGGGTTAATTGGTCAACCGAGTGGTTTTCTAAGAGTTTTGCACGGTTTTAACTCAATTCTTGTAAATCGTTTCGTAACTTGTTATATAAATAATATTTTATCTAGTTTTTTTATTTTTCATTTCGTTGAAAAATTCAGATTTTGGTGTTGACCACAAGATAAATTTGATAATTGTTTAATGACTTCACACTCACTTTAAATAATTACTGTTTAACGATTAAATAATTTTCCGTTTGTGATAATAAAATTGTATTTATTTTAATTTTTATTTGCTTTTTGTTTAAGATATGAAATGCAGCGTTTCAAGTCAAGTAAAATATTGCATATATGCTTACTGGGGTGTGAGCATTCAAGAACTTCACGTTTGCCTTTGGAAATCCTGGTCGATACTTCGTGAAGCTTTTTATACGGGAGATTTTTTAAAAGGAAGTTATAAACAATTTGGGGTTGAAATTAAGTTCGTGTAATGTTAATATTTTATAAGGAAATATTTAATTATTTATATTTTTAGAAAAAATCCTCATGCAGATGAAATGATATCCTTAAGTTTACCAGCCCAACAGATGGATTTGGGCCCACCTCCAAGGTTGTATTATCCTTTAGTAATATTTTTGGTTCGCAATGATAAAGAAAATGATATTCATCCCGATGAAACTGTATGAATTTTTTGGCTCTAATTATTTTAAAATGAAGATAATAATTCTGTGAACAATCTATTTTAGGTTGCTTTAATTAACGTCGTTCATATTAAGGATTCTGTTTGTACGTTGCCTACAAGTATTTTAGCGCAGTATTTAAAACAAGCTAATGGACAATTATCTTGTTTGAAGGTAATAATTTAATATATGTTTATTAATATAGGTATTCAACAGTCGGTTCATTATGTGAAATTTAAAAGGGAATTAGGTGAAATATTCTTTGTTGAATTGCTTTTATTCATTTTCATATATTGCTGGTAAACTAAAGTAACCTCCTTTAATTGCGTTCAGTTACAGGAAATCATATTTATGGAAAACACTTTCACTATAAAGTCATAAAACTACAAAATAAAATCGAATTCTATGAATTTCAAACACAAAATGTACAAAAAGCAATATAAAAGTTATACAGATATGCCAAAGTTTCAGTAGGTCAATTCAACAAAAATTAGTGCTTATGGCATTTATTTTCCTTAAAATTTGACCTTATTTAAAATAATTTTGCAAAGTTATCAGATTAAAATTTAATAGAAAAGACGATATCGCTTCTAGGCTGTTGCTTCACATTTCTAAGCTGAAAAACTTCAATACTATTAGGTTCGGGTTGCTCGTCAAACTATTGTAATAGTGTATGTACAGGGTGGTTCAAATTCGATGTCTGGATAGGCTAACTCGGAAACTATAAGAGTTAGAAAAAAAGTAGCTTACATGTCATTATCTCGTTTTTCGAGAAACTGCTAATGCCGAACACCCACCTCAAAGCGCTATCGTCTTTGGTTTTTCCCCTAGAGGCCAAAATTGAAAATATCGTAAAACCAACAAGTGCAATTATCTTGGTTATTATAGGTGGAGTATTATAACTAAGACATTATATGGACACTTTTTTACAGAGAATATCATGATGTAGTCAAAAAAAATTTTCGGTTTTAGATTTTGAGATATAACAATTTTCGTTTTTTTAAATGGAAACAAGCACTGATTATTCGCTTAATAAATTCGTTATTTTTTTCTGATTACAAAAATATAGGGTTTGACAGGTCTATTTCTTATTGTTTTAGAATAAAACTAAAAATAAACTTTTCTTTTAGTGTCGTCGAAGAAATTAAATTTACAGTTTCCTGTAAATTACGGTTCTATAACTAAAAATTAAAAAAACATATTTCTGATATTTGAAACAAATATATTTGTTGAACTGTTTAATTTATATATGTTTTACACAAAAGTTGGAATAGATTGCATTATTTCACATTTTTTATTACGATTTAATATTATTTTTAAATGACTTAATAAATTATCGATAGATGGCGCTCATATGTTTTTTTTTAATTTCAAATAAACATAGCAACATTTGTTTGTATTCAAAAATTTTCTGAAGTGTCAAATTAAAAATACTGTTTTTTAAGATGAATTACGAAAATTACGAAAAGTTTAACATATTAGAAAATAAAGTAAATTTTATATAAATTTTTAGTAGAATAATTTTTAGTTATAGTACCGTAATTTACAGGAAACTGTAAATTTAATTTCTTTGACGACACTAAAAAAAAGTTTATTTTTAGCATTCTAAAATATCTATATATTTTGTCTATATGATAATAATGATAGTCTAACTGATTTTTTTTATTTAAGCAATAATTTTTTAGTTATAACACAAACTTGTGAAATTTCTAATGGAAACCATAGTTGGCCATGACTTTATAAAAAAGGGCTTTTCTCAACGATTCTAATGATATACCACTTGACATAGATATTTTTATTAATAAATAAATTATAGCCATTTATTCTTTTAATTGACAATCTGTTCAGGTAGTATGTTATGAAAACAATTGATAGATACGTTTGGTTATCACAGCTTAAGCCAAACATATGTTTCGTTTAGTTTCTAATTAACGTTGATTGAGGTTTTGTAAATTATAATCAATATGAATTTTCTAATCAATAAAAGCGTGATATCATTGAGTGTTACATTTTATGCTATAAAAATGCTATACAAGCTGCAGAAAAGTATTTTGATCGTCGCCAGCCTTCTCTACCTACTTTTAAGAGGCTGATAAGTTGGGCGAGTATGGTTCTTTCTGTAAACCAACTAAGGATGCAAGACAGAAGTAAATGTAGTCGAAGTTGATGCTGTAGTCCATTATTAACCAGTTTTTTAATTTAGAGGTAACAAAGGTTTTTTGTGAGGTTTGCACTTTCACTGGTTAGTAAAAAATCTTGTATTAAATATAATACGTCTCTTTATTTACATGTTTCGCCCGTCCTAGCAGGCATCTTCAGAATAAAGAGTAAGGTACAAGTTGAAGGTACAGATTGTCACGTTACCATGACATATTGTAAGGAATGTTTTATCTCCAAAAACTGCCCATTTGTGATTTTTAAACAGAATTTTTCCATTAGTTCAACAATATAATAGTTTCCGCTGTTCAAAAATTTTATTTTCAACTGGTACCTTACTCTTTATTCTGAAGATGCCTGCTAGGAAAGGCGAAACATGTAAATAAAGAGACGTATTATATTTTAATACAAGATTTTCTACTAACCAGTAGAAGTGCAAACCTCACAAAAAACCTTTGTTACCTCTAAACAGAAGGAAATGTATTAGCACGAATCCATCAAGATGCATCGGTTTCAACACAAGTTGCATCTGAAGCAGGCACGTCGCAACGTACTGTCGTAAGAGAACTAAAAACGCATAGATTTCATTCATATAAAATGGCAGTTTCACAAACACTACCCCCAGATGACTACAATAAGCGGGTAGAATATTTTCGTAGCCATGGCCAACTATGGTTTCCATTAGAAATATCACAAGTTTGTGTTATAACTCAAAAATTATTGCTTAAATAAAAAAATCAGTTAGACTGCTTTATTAAACATGTACCAAATGTATTAAACTTTGTTAACAAAAAAAACGGCTTTTTCCAGATATCTAGTTAGCCATGCATTTTAACCAAAAAATAAAAAGCTCATTAAATTGAGTTCATGTGAAACTGCAATTATTTCTCTACTTAATCGTCTTTCTATCTCCGCTAGTTTTCGAGATCTCCATACTAAACATGGAAAAAACTCACCCTGTATATTGCTACTCAGCCTGCCACACACCGTAGTCGTTTGTAGCTAACAGGTCAACGCGGGATCGATATTAACCTCGAGAAATTTAACGAAATTGGGGTTTTCTTCATTAAGGGGCCCTAGTGTAAAGATTGATGCGATCATCTTGTCCCGATTGAGAGCGAGAAAATTCGACTCAAACCAATCCCTAGCAGTCGAATCTGCCAACTCTGTCGCAACTCCTAGATCTTTACTTTTAGCTATCAATGTAGTGTCGTCAACATACATGACCACAGACGCACTATCAATATTTCTTTCCAGATCATTAATATAAATCAGAAAGAGAAGAGGCCCCAAGATCGAGCCTTGAGGAACCCCTATACAAACGTTCTTTCTCTCTGAAAGCTTTCCTTGAGACTTAACGGCTTGAGATCTGTTGGTGAGATATGATCTAATTAAGTTAAGGCTGCCTGTTTCTAAATTATATTTTCCTAACTTTTGTAACAGTAAATCATGTTGTACGCAGTCAAACGCCTTGCTAAGATCGCAAAAAACGGCAGTCATATACTCTCCATTATCAAAACAGGACGGAGCCATTTCCACAAAATTTAATATGACTTTATACAAAAGGCCTTTTCTCAATGATTCTAATGATATATCCCTCGACATAGATATTTTTATTAATAAATAAATTATAGCCATTTATTCTTTTAATTGGAAAACTGTTCAGGTAGTATGCTATGGAAACAATTGATAGATACGTTTGGTTATGACAGCTTAAGGCAAACGTATGTTTCGTTTAGTTTCTAATTAACGTTGATTGAGGTTTTGTAAATTATAATCAATATGAATTTTCTAATCAATAAAAGCGTGATATCATTGAGTGTTACATTTTATGCTATAAAAATGCTATACAAGCTGCAGAAAAGTATTTCGATCGTCGCCAGCCTTCTCTACCTACTTTGAAGAGGCTGATAATTTGGGCGAGTATGGTTCTTAATGTAAACCAACTAAAGATACAAGACAGAAGTAAATGTATTAGCACGAATCCAGCAAGATGCATTGGTTTCAACACAAGTTGCATCTAAAGCAGGCACGTCACAACGTACTGTCGTAAGAGAACTAAAAAAGCATAGATTTCATGCATATAAAATTGCAGTTTCACAAACACTACCCCCAGATGACTACAATAAGCGTGTAGAATATTGTACGTGGTTTATTAACATGTGTGAAGCTGATCATACCTTAGATTAAAGTTTTGTGGACTGATGAAACACAATTTACAAAACGCGGCCTATTTAATAGACATAATCAACATTTATGGATGTGGAAAAATCCGCACCATGTTCAAGAGACGAGACCTCAAGTTAAGTTTGGATTTAATGTTTGGTGCGGTGTCATTTGTTCAAGAATTCTTGGTCCGTACATTTTTTATGATACTTTAAACAGAGATCGTTATCTTCACTTTCTACAGAACGAGTTCGATAATATGTTGGATAAATTGCTCCTGCAGACACGTCATTTGCTTAAATGGCTTCAACACGATGGGGCACCACCACTTAATAAGCTAGCGGTACAAAATCATGGAAACTTACGTTTGCAAACGTATCTATCAATTGTTTCTATAGCATACTACCTGAACAGTTTGCAAATTAAAAGAATAAATGACTATAATTTATTTATTAATAAAAATATCCATATCAAGTGGTATATCATTAGAATCGTTGAGAAAAGGCTTTCTTTATAAAGTCTTGGCCAACTATGGTTTCCATTAGAAAAATTACAAGTTTGTATCAACTCAAAAATTATTGCTTAAATAAAAAAATCAGTTAGACTGCTTTGTTAAACATGTAATACCCTACAAATTTTTTCTTTACACATTTTTCTAAAATCAATTAAAGCGGAGCCATAGGTATCTGATGATATAACCAAAAAAACGGTTTTTTCAAGATATCTAGTTAGCCATGCATTTCACCCAAAAAAAAACAAAACGCTCATTCAATTGAGTTCATGAAACTGCAATTCTTTCCCTATTTAATCGTCTCTCTATCTCCGCTAGTTTTCGAGATCTCCATACTAAACATGGAAAAAAACTCACCTTGTATATTTCAAATTATTTTCAATAGTTTTATTTATTACAGAAATATGACGCTCGGTAGTATGGCGTGATGTTGAAATTTGAGTAATCAGTTTCTGCAATTTTTCATTCGTTTTTTTAATAAGTTCTCCTTCAACATACGGGCATTTTTCACGAGCAATATTCCAAGATATAATAAAACTAGCTTCAATTTTCCTGTTATCTTTATTTATCATAAGTCCCATCTGTTTCGTGCCTGCTTCCATTTTTCATTCTCACAAATTTGCCAGGGAATCAATGTTTATTCGTGTCCATGCTGCTAAAGGCCTTCTTCAAATCAAGGAATAGGCAATGTAGGTCTATGTTATGCTCACAGCATTTCTCTAAGGGCTGTCTAATTAGGATATTTTTCAATATCGTGCAATAGTATACATACTCCAGACTGTGCTCTTTCCTGTTTCTCTTCAGTTCTGTGATCGTAGAAAATTGTTTATAATATAGCCACCAGACGGACGGCTAACCTCACCTAAAACACACATCCTTCATCCAAGTTTAGAGACGACAATTACAGGTGTGATCTTCTTTCTCAACATGCATATTTTCTAATATCATTACTTTATTAGAAATGTTTCTGATATTGCCTTGCAACACACTATCTCAATCACGAGCTATAGCAGAAGTTGACAGTATAATATGATTCTAAGATATTTTTTTCTCTCTAATTACAGCATAAAGTTTTTTGTTAGAAATCTATTCATGGTCTCTATACTATCTTGATCTATTGTCTGAGAAATACATGTACAACATTTGGAAGAAAATATGCCACGAATGTGCTTCCATCGTCTGTGTTCAGCGCTTCAGAATATGGTTTGAATATGACAGTTTCTTAATTTTATTGTAATGTGATTTTTCGATTTCCAAACAACAATGAACCCGAGTGTATGTGTTCCTGCTGAATTACTGTTAGATTCTTTGTGATTTTGATGCCTGAAAAAAATGTTTTAGAGTATAAAAAGTTACACTTTTTCTTCTTTTTTGTGGAAGCCACAGAGGCTTGTTATAATCATTCTGCCAGCAATTTTTGTGATGCTGGTCTTCAACCTTAAGCAATCCTTGGTAGTCTATTCCTTTACATTCGTAAAACGAGCTCGTTCCAGAGTCTCCTGCGTGCACTCATCCATCTTCCGTTTTGCATTCTTCACGAATTTTTTTTCTTCTCTGATAAAAATAGTGTTTTTAGTGATTACTCTCAAAATCGCTTTTTTGCTTTTCACTTTGTCTTCCGGCACCTCCATAGTGTATATCATTATTAGCCTGACGCAGACCTGGTATATCCTCCATTTAGTGTTGATTTTCAGTTGGTCGTTCTTAGTACTACCCCTATTTTGTTTTTTATCGTTTTGTTTTTTATTTATTCTTTTCGACATACCATTGAGTCATTCTGTTTCAAAGTGTTTAATTTATTAAATCATCTTTTGTAATTCAATAAAATGTGATCTACTTGTTAGAATGTTATAAATCTAATTAATCTTTTTACTGATAAAATCTAATTTACGATAATAACTTTTAATTTCTTTGATTATAAATTTCGGAGTATGCATTTTGATAGTGAAATTGTTTAAATATTGCAATAATATCAAGAAGTAGTCTTAATGGAGTTTCTTTGGTATTTCTATTGAAATTTACTAGTTAAACTATTAAATAGAAAAAAATATATAAATTGACACTTAGTTATTAAATGAAAAATTTCATCTTTAGATTGCAACTTAAGATAAAATCATCATTTCTAATCATTATTTCTAATCATTAATTATTTCTTTGCAGCCATCTCTAAAAATCAATTAAAAAGAATATTTTATCTAATCAATTCTTATAGTGGGCCGATTATTTAAATACTTTTATTGAGATTTTCTACTATTAATTAATGTTATTTTTAGCAATTATATTTAGCAACGGGAAATCCAACTGGTTACGAAGATAATAATCAAATTCCATTGGCAGTTGCTGAACCTGTTCATGGAAGTCCGGGAAAAACGTTAGTTTGTCCTACAAATGGTGATACAGCGGGCATGTGGAATACTTCAGGTGAACAACTTTGCGTGGTGTGTCAATATTTTCCATTATCGAGAGCTTTACTACCATGCAGGTATTATTTTTTTAATTTTATATATTTTTTTTAATAAAATTTGATTATTTCTTTTTTTAAAGACACACTTGTATATGTGCAAGTTGTTTCGATAAATTAGATCGTTGTCCGATGTGTAGAGGGCCAATAAAGAGTTACTTTTGTATAAGAGGAGAAGAATACATGCCAATAGAGCCAAACACTAAAGGACAACCTGTTAGACATTCATCTCTGTACTATAATTGGCTGGATGCTCTAAATGAACGACTCATAGATTTTTTAGGGTTTCAACGATGATAAATTGATTGTTTTCTTTAAAACATCAAAGGCAAAACAAAAATATTGCGTCCTATCCGAAATCCCAACGTTAAAATGAATATAATTTCCTCAAATGATGAAAAAAGATAATATTTTATTTTAATATTAGTTGGGTTTTATCATCACTATCCCTGTTTAATTATTATATTTGTACTATAAGATTATTAACAGCAAAATTTTAGTTTTTTGTTTCAATAGGTTTAAAGATTAAAATAAATATTAAGAGTATTGATTAGTAATTTATCTGACATATGTCTGTGATAATCTAGATGATGACGTTTATGTAAATAAATGTAATTTATATGCAAATTAGTTTTTATCATGTCAAAATAACTTCGAATCAATTTCCTGTCTGATCCCATTAATTCCACATTGCAACTACTATAACATTTTTGAAAATGATATTAATAAAATTATAATGTGGTGGTTGTTTCATATATTTACCCCAATGTTCTCATATACAAGAGCGGCATAAAAATCAAAATGCGTCCCAGCAAAGATGAATTAATTTTAGGGGTTATTGTATAGCAATAATATCTTTTTATTTATATTATCCATGTTGCAAGTTTTAAATTTAATAATAGGGATCTACATTTTTTTTTTACTTATAAAAGGTCGTGTTGGATGAAGCCATTAACTTCTCACTCATCATTATTCAATTTATTATATTGCCCTGGTATGATTATAATTAATTTTTCCTTAATGAATTTAAATTATGGATTTTTGGTACATAAAATACAGAGCCATCTATTAGCTATAAATTTCATTAGAAGCACTTCACAATGTTATCATTTACAGGTTCCTGTTAACGTTGATTTGTCATTTATAACATTCTAAAACTCCCTAAAAATAGAAAAATTTCCCTAGATTCGAATGTCAAGAACAGTCAACGGTTTTTCATGTTGTTCGTAGTCCTTTCAATAGTTTTAAAGAATATTTTAAAGTTTTATTTATAAAAAGACGTTGTACTCGTGGTGTACTCATTCAAAACTGTTTTGTTGTTATCATGGACACAAGCGATAGTAAGTTCGTTTTATCATAAATTATTAACGTTTCATTTACAAAAATCTTTTATGTCAAGGTATTGTAGACGATAGCATGAGGGGTGATTCGACAAGAAACGAGTCTGGTAAGTTTGTTTTTATATGATACGAAAATCATTTTCACTTTTAAAAGTTATTTAAATATAAATTAATTTGCTACCTATTTATTTTTGTATTTGCAGGTTTAATCGATGATAGTATGAGTGGCTATTACTCCAGCTCCAGAAACAGTATGGGTAAGTGCTTTTTTTAAATGTATTTGGCATTAAAACATTTTCTCTGATTATAAGGAATTTATTGTGTATTGTTTGGGTTGTACAAATGAACATTAAAATACAAGAAGAGAATTATATGATTTGATGAAACAAAATGAAGTGTAAAGCTTTAATTAGTATTAATGGATATATAAGGCAAATGTAAACTAGGAAGTAAAATATGTATAATATGAATATTCATTTGCACAAATCATACTGAATGAATAAAAGGAACTATTTGCCTTTAGTAATATTGTGAAAATTAACCTATACTAAAGTTTTAACATTTGTCCATTATGAATTATTATCAAACTATATAACCCTTTACATTTTACATCAATGTGGTTCATGACAACTTTATAACTGTAGTAACCCACACATGAAAATAAAATAGAATCTCCTTTTTTGTTCTTTCAATCTTCCCTACCAGTTGGTAAATGAACCATATTTATCACATTTTTGCTTCAATTTTTTTTGTGAAAGTGAGGATTACAAAAATTTTGATTAGGTCTTTAAATCTTTAAAAAACGAATATACAGGATTCCCACATAAGCGACAAAGTACATGAATGGCATTAAGGAGCCAAGATACGCAGTTCTTCTTTAGACAAAAGTTGTAGGAAATTTAGCACACTATAAATGGAAAAGATTTTTATACATACAGGATGTTCTATAACGACGTACTGAATTAAACATATGATATTTTAAATGGAATGATATAGTTTTTATTGCGTATTCTGTTTCTACACACAAAACTAAGTTGATGACTTTTTTTAGCAATTAACCCATTTATTCCAGTTAAAGCGTTGCAGATCCATGTTTGTTTATAAGAAATAAAAATAGTCAGAGATTGTTCTTAGTAATATATGTGGATGATGGATTAATAGCAGGGAGTGATCAAGAAGAGATAACGGGATTAATCCATCAACTAAAGCAGGAATTCAAGATTACAGAAGGTGAACTGAATTCATTTCTTGGTATACAAATTCAACAGGCTGATAACATTTTTATAAGTCAGCTAACATATACCAGAAAAATACTAGAGCGATTTGGAATGGAACATTCAAAGTCAGTTGGAGTTCCTACAATGACGATTGAAAAGGATGAAGAATCTAAATGAATAAATGATGGGATTCCTTACCGTGAAGCTGTGGGTTGTTTACAATATTTAGCTACAGCTACACGACCAGATATTGCCTTTGCCGTGGGTGTCATTGCAAGACCAGTATCAAAACCATCCCAAGCTGATTGGCAACGAGTTCAACGAATTTTTAGATACTTAAACGGAACAAGAAATGTTAGAATCATGTATCAATCAGATAATCCTGGATCTTTTATGACATACCGTGACGCAGATCATGAAAGAGACTGGGAAACAGCAAAATCAACAACTGGATTAGTGAGCACATATGCAGGAGGAGCAATTGTATGGGCAAGTCGTCACAGAACGTGGTTGCTTTATCATCTACCGAGGCCGAATACGTGGCAGTTAGTGAAGGTGTAAAGGAAATTTTGTGGTTGACAAAATTATTCAATGAACTGATTGGTTTTAATGAATGTCCTAAATTGCTTTGTGATAACCAAAGTGCCATTGCATTAGTAAAAACCCCGGCTTTTCATAAGCGTACTAAACATATAAACATTTGTTACCATTTAGTGAGAAACGCGCATGAAAATGGACAGTTCTGTGTTCAATATATAGACATTAAGAGACAGGCAGCGGATGTATTTACAAAACATGTTAAATCAAAAGATCAATTTAATGTGTTGTGCGAAAAAATAGGTTTGGTTTCACTCCCTTAACGGTTTTTTTATTGTTATTGTTTGTTAGTTAGAGACAACGTATTGAGGAGGGGTGTTGAATATTTGTTAAGTATTATTACAATACGTTATCCAATAGATGTCGCTACTTGTTCGCTTGAAAGCTACAGATTTAAATATTTTCTAAGTTGGTAGCACGAAGGGAACGCTTAACTCTTGCTCTTTTGTTCTGTTACAATAGTTCGTAATAGTTTGTAGTTCAGTAATATTTTTCAATATATTTTCTATCAACGGCTCGTTGTTTTAATAAAAACGTTACCGCAACTCAACACTCCCTTTGATGCATCTACCTCTTTAATCTTATGCTTGTTCTTGAGGATCGTTGATGTGCAGCGATTGTACGTGCTAGCTCACACGTACAATCGCTGCACATCGTGTCTGATCTAACTCGATCAGACACACTCACACCTTGTTCACGCTTTTCAATGATTTTCTGTTTCGTTTCTAGGGTTATTTTAAAAAGTTTCTAAAGTTATTTTTCTAGGGCTAAATGTGTCTTGTACTCGTATCGAGTCGGAATCATATGATTTCGAATTCAAACTGTATCGATTCTTCAATTTGAGTTTAATTTTTAAGTTATTTTTTGACATTAATTTTAAAGCATCGGAATCGAGTCGGACTCGATTCTCAAAAATTGAATTGATTCTTTAGAATCGAGTATTCGATACTTTTCAAATCTAACTCAAGTCGACTCGATACCAAAAGTCGCATCACTAATTTCTGCTGTATTAGGGAGATGTTTTACAGCTATTTTATCAACTATTAATCATTGATGAGGTTCCTGATAAGGTCTGCCTCTGAAATATCCTCTGAGCAGTTAATCACTATTTGGCTCTAAATATCTTTGGTGGCCTGCCTAGTGGTCTGGCTCCCAACCAGTTATTTTTAAGAGTTATCGGACGTAGTTGTGTCAAAATCTCTTGTGTCGTTTCCTCCATTTCACAATATCCTGAATCCCGAATTGGTCTTTCCTTTTCTATCCTGTTTCATCTGGTCTTTCCTGAGTTTATCTTTATACTTTATTTAAAAAGGGGGACTTCATTTTTGCTAATCATATAACATGCTTTTAACTTTGTTACTGTCTTCGCATATTTCAATGCGGTAAGTCATTATTGCAGGGAATTTTGCACAAAGCTAGACTATCCTTGTGGACTTGTCGCAGTCTTTATGGAAAAAATTGAGATCTTACCCCTGAAAGACTGTACTGGACTATGTGACTGTGGTTAGACCTATAAACTTTCACGAATTCAATGGGTAGCTGGATTGGCAATCTCTGGTGCGATAACTACAACGCCAACTCTAGCAATGGAGGTTCTGCTTGGCCTATCTGCTCTGCATTTGCATATAGAGAAAATGGCTAGAACAACCATTTACAGATTTAAGCAATATGCTCAAAACTGTTCCGACATGTCCTACCAATGGGCTGCGGAAGACATTAGAAGCACTAATACTGTGCTATCAATGCCGTTAGATTTAGCGGGATCACTATCAGTGATTAACGCTCGATACCAGATTGTACTGCCTGAGCGGCAGTCCTGGATTGAAAATGAAAATTCTCTGGTTCAGGCAGATATTTGCATGTTGACAGATGAATCAAAAACGCCGGAAGGGGTCGGAGCAGGAGTATACTGCCAGACACTTCGAATTAAGCAAGCCTACAGCCTGGGTACGTACTGTACTGTATTCCAGGAAGTATTTGCTATTGGTATGGGTGCTAAAATCCTTCTTGAAAGAGAGGTGAAGAACATGACAGTACGAATTTTCTCAGACAGTCAAGCCGCTCTCCAGGCGCTGCATGCCGTGAAAACGGTGTCGGCTCTGGTTAATGATTGTAAGAGAACATTAAACACACTGAGTTGTGATAACAGAGTCTCTCTGATCTGGGTCCCGGGACACTCTGGGGTTGCTGGCAATGAAGCGGCAGATGAGCTAGCACGAGTGGACAGCGCTAAAGCGCTTGTGGGACCGGAACCAGCAGTTGGTGTATCATTTGCGATGGCCAAATATAGGATTGGACTGTGGGCTGAACAGAGACTTCGCCTACTGTGGATCAGTTTTCCTGGAATTAGACATGCTAAGGTGTTTATTAACATCGCCACTGTCAAACCCGGGAACATTTTGTTGTATATCCGCACTTTACAATCCATACACATGGACCATATAGTATTTCGTAGTCACCTATGCGAAGTTAACCCCAATTAGATAGGATTTCACATGTATAGTGTTTTGATTATAACTAGAGAATAGTTTGATTGATTTTAATGTTTTTTATTGCAATCGATAGCTTGCTGAATGCAGATGTCGAAATGTCCGTATTTAAGAATTTTAATTAAGAACCTGAGCAGTTATCTTTGCAACTGATCTTCTGAGTTGGCGATTGTCGCAGTACAACATATTGTGTTGATTTTCTTTGGTCCCATTTTATATTTTAAGTTTAAAGTCTTAAAATGGGCTGAGACTTTTATTTTAGTCCTTTATTTTGTATTAATGATAAAATAATATCCTAAAATGTATGTTTGTTTAATACTTAATAGGAAACGAAACAACTGAACAAAGCTCACACATTAGTAGAATAAAGAAAGAATCTGCGATGATGTTATCAGAAACTGAGTCATCTGATGAATCTAACGTTGCATCATCGACAAACTCAAGTAATGATCATGATGATAATGAACACATGGTTAGAAATTCAATGGAGTATCGTGAAATTACGCCCGCCAAAGAAAGTGTTGTTATGAAACCGAGCTCAAGTGATGTTAGCAATAAGAAAAAATACCCTTTCATTAAGATCTTATCAGGATCTGAATTATCAAAGGAAAGAAGCAAAGATAATATAGAAGCTTTGTCTAAAAATAAAACTGATCACCCTAATAATATAACAATGGAAACAAGTTTAATTTCTGGCGCATCAGAATATGAATCCTCTGATGAGGAAAGTGACTTTGCTGATAGTACTAATAAAACGAAACAAAGCCCAAAAACAACAACTAAGGACGAAGAAAATATGATAGACAATTCAACTCGAGACGTAACTAGTTATGCTAAAAATTCCGAAATTATGGAACAAAGTTCGTTTTTTGGTGTCAGAAGAAAGAAAAAGATTGCTATAATTGATTCTGATGCAACAGAATCTGATTCATCAGAGGACTCAAGCGAAGAGTCTTCCGAAAATCCAGAAAGTAAAGAGGAAAATATAATAGTTTTAGATGAAAGTAAAACTCGTTCATCAAACGAAGATAAAGTGATTTCTCAAAGTACATCCGTCGTCGATTTTAATTCCTCAGAATCTGTATCAACTGAAGTATCAAATCCACCATCTCCCGATTTTTTCAAAGGACCTTCGTCAAGGATATCCGAGAATTTTAAATCCCTTAAATCATCTTTATGCAGTACTATGATTGGTAACGACTTAGAAGTGGTAAGTAAAAATAATAATTTTAATAAGTTTTATAATATTTTTTTGTGTAACTAAATTCTAGTTACCGCTTGGCAAATCTATCTTGGCTGTACAGTGCAATCTATCTGTCTTTGCTATACAGTGCCCAACAAAAGTATTCGTGTACATATTTTACAATTTTTTTTGATAAAGCCGAGTTCATTTGCGGCCAAGGTGCCACAATATAATGATCAGTGTTATATTGATATAATGTTAATCACTTAATTGCGGCTGCAGGCGGCCACGACTTAATTAGTTACAAGATCTACAACTTTACTTGATAAAGCGATGCCACTTGCGGCCGAGGTGTCGCAAAATAATGACCAGCTTCAGGTTGGTATAATTTTAATCATTAATCTGCGGTCCTCTACATGCCTACATCATCTACAACTTCAGCTGATACGTATTTCTGAGAAGTTGTGGTATTATGACGTATGTACTAAAATTGTAAGTTTTTGGCAAGCTACACCTGCGGTCGTCGATGTCACAAGTTCGGCTCTCATTCCAATGATTTACTATCGCACTCTTTCTTCTGCGCATCTACTGGCCAAGATAGATTTGTCAAGCTGTAGAGTTAGAATAAAATAGTTTATGTTAAAAATGTTTCAGCTATCAGAAGATGAATCAACAAATGTAATAGAATTAAGCGATGAAGACCCGGTGCCAATTTCAACAAAACCTAAAACTTTTCAACCTGAGAAACCGGCGCCTCCGCCTACAATGGAAGCTACTCCCGGACGTGTACTTGTTACTAAAGCCGTTTATGACGACCAGAAGCGAATAGTTACGAAATTGCAGCAGGATTTGGCCCAAGTTAATAACGTGTTTAGAACCGTTGACTTGTCTAAGTTACCAGATAAGGGTAAACTAATGCGCGGCAGGGTTGTTAGTATTGAATCTTCTTTAAAAATTGCGAAAGATCGGCTTGATAAAATGGTTATAGATGCAGGTAAGATACATTATAATACATTAAAATTAAAAGAAAATGCATACAGATTAGCACAAATATTCATGTATGCTTAAAGCTTAATAGGTATTTCCCTAAGTTTAACAAAAATCAAAGGAAAATATGGACATCTGCCGGTAATTGTGCATATCTCCTTAAATATTCACATTTATTGTAACATTATTTTTTAAATGTTACTTTTTAATTTTTTCGAAAAAAGATGAAAGAATTACAACAAAATTCTTATATAAAATTATTTCATACAGCACTTCAGGACGCAAATCCCTCAAATAATAAAGCAACTTGGGAAGATATGAAAATTCAATCTGATGTCGTCCAACCAAAAACTTTTGGGCGACAAGGTAAATACAAAAAAGCGACAAAATATAAAAAAAATCTTGTTAATGAAACCGTCTTTTTTTTCACATTTATAGCAATTTCGACATACAACACTCAAAAATCTCTAACTATGGAACGTCTCCAACAACTACATGGGTCATTATCCAATTGTCCAAAGGAAGACTTCCTTGCAGATGATCCGAAAGGATTGAAAATCTCATTGATGCCTCATCAAAAACACGCAGTCGCGTGGTTATCGTGGCGAGAACAACAACAACCTTCTGGGGGTATCTTAGCGGATGATATGGGTTTGGGAAAAACATTGACGATGATTTCGTTAATGCTAAAATCGATAGAAAGTGCGCCGGATCGCGATGAAAATGAGTGGAAAAGTAGACAAAAAGAATTTGTTCATGGGGGTACGTTGATCGTCTGTCCAGCCAGTTTAGTTAAACAATGGGAAGCAGAAGTTTCAAAACATTGTAAAAGGGGATTGGTTAATATTGAATGTTATCATGGACCTAAAAGGGAAACACGAGCAACAACGTAAGTAAATATTTCAAATAGTTGTTTAATTATAACAGAATGGAAAAGTAACACAAAAGCAAATGAAGTTGTCAAATAACAGGATAATGTTTAATGTTTACAGAATGCTATTATTATACAGGTGTACAATCGCTTGTGGTTTAGGCTTTTTGACGTCTAAATTTCGAGATAGAAACTACAAATTCGACATCGATTTTTTGGACGTTACTGGACCGTACTGCGATTAATATTTCAATAAAAAATTTTTGTTGAAAAGCTTAAAGATATGTTTACCGTTTTTACCTGGATGAAATTTTTAACTAATTTGTAGAAAATTAAACAACAATATTAATAACAAAAAAATTACGACATGTCTTTGTTCAACACAAAAATTTTTCGGAAATTCCTAGAAACAGATTAAAGAGGTTGTTTGTTTGGAATAACATTATTTAATTTTTATGGCAAAAGGTTGTTTTGTAAATTGTAACAAATGCATGAAGAAAATAGTTAAGACAAAAATTATGTTTTGGGGAATTAATTTTTAGGAGTACAAATAAGTTTCCGCTGTTTTCTATCAAAAATTAGAAATGTATTGTGAAATAACGGTACATTACTTTTTATTCAAAGAATTGTCCATTAGCCACTACATTTTCCCATCTTTCGGGCTGCATTCAGATACCACGTCGGAAGAATTCATCATCTTTTGTGGCTATCCACGAAGAATAATTTGAACTGCAGTAATGGTTTCGCCCGGATTGAGCAACTCATAATACACGACACTGTCTACACAAGCTGATCCCACCAAATACACAGTATGAGTTTTTTTCCATGAGTATTCGGTTTGGTTGTCAATGTTGAAGCATGGCCGTAGTGGATCAATTTTTCATCACCAGTGACTGTACGATGCAAAGAAAACCTTTCTTTTATGCCTGGCAAGCAACATTTCACACATGCAAAATGGGGGTTCCCTAGGTTCTCTATGGAATCTAATTTTCTTGTTCTTAAATCATTTTCAACGATTTTAAACGATGTCAAATTGCTGGTTGAGTCACTTTTAATGTAACTACAAGTTCTTCTTGCGTTTGCTACGAATCTTCCTCTAATAATGCTTCCAATTCCGTGTCTTTGTGCACTTTGGGCCCATTATCCACTACGTTCTTTGTCATCCACGGCAAACTCACGGTTTTTTAAACTTTTGAAACCGCTCACGACAACTTCTCTCACTTAAAGTAATCTAAGTTCTAAATTAAAGAAGTATACAGCCTGTTTCAGAGTAAGCGCCTTATTTTTTTAGCCACTCTATAAGTACTACTTTCAAAATATTTGGCAGTAATATGTTTTAGAACATTCTCTATATGATGGTGATATCATATTTTTAATTGTATTTCAAAATGGCGATTTTCAACTTTTTTTTTTTTTTTTTTTTTTTTAATGGAATGCCAACATTTTTTTTTAATATTGAGATCCTAAAATCATTCTTGTTACGATAGTATTTCGTTTTTCCTAAAAAATTCATTTCTTTTCCCATTAAAAAGTAAACTAACATTTTAATCTAGTAGCCCATGAATGTTTTACACTCGATGTTATTTTTGTCCAAATATCAAGTAGCAGTAGACACAATTTATTTGGACAAAAATAACTTCGAGTGTAAAACATTCATCTGCTACTAGATTAAAATGTTAGTTTTCTTTTTGATAGAGAATGAAATGAATTTTTAAGAAAAACAAAATACTATCGTAAAAAGAATGTTTTTAGGATCTCAATAATAAAAAAAAAATTTTTGGCATTCCATTAAAAAAAAAAAGTGGACAGTCGCCATTTTGAAATAATTCGTCCAATTGAAAATATGATATCACCATCGTGTAGAGAATGTCCTAAAACATATTACTGCCAAATATTTTGAAAGTAGCACCCATAGTGTGGCCAAAAAAAAATAAGGCGCTTACTCTGAAACAGGTTGTATAGTAGAAATCACGAAAGCTAACAGTGAGTCACCGCTTAAAAATGGTATGAATCAAGATATGGACGTACGATCAAAAGTGATGGTTTTGGCTGACAGTCACGGACGACAAGCCAGCCAGCCTATAATCGGATTTTTGCAGGAGAATTACGACGTTCTAACAGTTTTCAAACCTAATGCTAAAGTTTGCGATGTTCTAGAAGATGCTGAAAAACTTTTTTCTAACTATAATCAAAATAACTATGCCATAATTATGGCTGGTACCAATGACGTTTTGAGTGATAGTATGATTTCAAAGGATATGTATGATAAAATCAAATATTTATACAATCGTAATTTAATTTATGTATCGGTTCCTGATTGGTATGGTAAGCATAGTTTAAATGTAAAAGTTTATGAACATAACAGAATGTTTGATTATTTTAAAAATTCCATTAAAAACGTTGATTGTTTTGTTGATGTCAATTCCTTTTTAAATGTAGGTGGTAAAACTAAATACAGACTTTACTTAAATTCTATAGGTAAACGAAAACTATTCGCACAAATTAACAAAATTATAAAACGTCAAAACTATAAGTTAAGTAGGTATTGTAATCTAAAGTCAATTCTATGCAATGATATGTATTTTCACATTGTCAGTGATACAAATTATGTAACTAATGTTGGTGATGATGATTATTTACCTGAAAGTATTGCACTGTAATATAGAGGATGTTTTTTAAGCAAATAGAGCTTACGAAATAGTTAACTGTCAAACGAACTGTCATACTGCGTTCACTTTTTGATATTTATGATACTCTGGCAAATCATAATGAACAGATTGACGCTTGAACAACGCTACCAAATTATCAAGATTTACTTTGAAAATCAGTCATTAATTCGCATAACTTATAGGCGACTTCGTGATTTGTATGGCGCACATAATCGTCCATCTGAGCAAGTCATCCGTCGAACTGTGGATAGATTTCATACCACATACTCTCTAAATGATGCAATAACACCAAGACGTTAAATGAATGTGCGTACTGAAGAGAATATCGCCGCTGTAAACGAAAGTGTGGATCTTGACCTACACCCGTTTAAGATCCAACCGGTGCAGGAATTAAAGCCACGAGATCATCACATGCGTCGTTCTTTCGCCGATCGGCATCTAGAGCAGTTGGAAACTGATCCGATTTTTTATCGCAAAATTTGTGTTCAGCGATGAGGCTCATTTTTGGCTTAACGGGTTTGTTAATAAACAAAATTGCCGCATATGGGGTGAAACCAATCTACAACAGACCCTACAGACTCCATTACATCCAGAATAATGCACCGTTTGGTGTGGTTTGAACGCTGGTGGCATCATTGGACCTTATTTTTCAAAAATGAAACCGGATCTCGCGTTACGGTCAATGGAGATCGTTACTGCACCATGACCAACGATTTTTTGTTTGGAAATATGGATGACATTGATCCGGGCGAGATGTGGTTTCAACAGGACGGCGCTTCGAGCTATACGGCGACTTATTTAAATCAAAATTTGGCGATAAGTTGATTTCGAGAAATGGACCTGTCAATTGGCCTCCAAGGCCGTGCGATTTGACACCTCTCGATTATTTTCTGTGGGGCCACGTGAAGGCATTGGTTTATACGGATAAACCAGCAACAATTGACGCGGCCTAAAATTGGACTTCCAGAATGCGCTTTTTTGTGTTATTTTTTTCAGTTTGAAATTCTATCGGGTATAAAAAACACCCGTAACAAGCACTCCACAATAAACAGCATGAAATGTGCTCCTTTTTGCAGGATAACAAGTTCGACGTGATTAGCATTAATGAGCACTGACTCTGAAGTGAGAAACTCAAGAACTTATATACTCACCTGTATATGGAGTTTTTTAGGGTATGCAGCGCCATCTAGAAAAATAGATGAAAACCAATACCAAATTATTAGTTATCGTCTCAAAAAAATGATCATGTTCATAATGTAAGAGAAAATGAAATTATTAAAGAAAAACGAAAATAAAGTATTAACTTTAACCATCTGTATCTTCGTTATTATTAACAATTGGACTAATTGTAAGATAAATTGGGTTAAAACGTAATAATTTAATGTAAGGCATTCACTGTTGCTCTGTGTCCCATTAGTAACGGACCATTCTGTATATGCTGTGTAATTACGTCGCCAGAGGCATTTGCCCTGAACTTTTGGAGGGCTAAAGTTACAAATAGATCTTATAGATCGCGGTAACGAGAGGTACCACTCCCCTCAGCCCGGCAGCAATAATGCCAATATTGATAATAATAACTCAAAAACTTTGCAATACAAAATTACACAAATGTATCTCAATTGTGTAGGTCGGTTTTTGAGCGTGGGGTGTAGCAAGTTTCTTATCTAATACGTTTCCTTTATTCAAATTGCTTACTTTTGATGCCCAGTGTGTGGAAAGGGATATCGAGATTATTGGTGTGAAATTAGATCTAAATAAGAATATAGTACTGACACTTAGCGATATTTGTCTCCAGGTTCATCTTTATGTTATTATGGTAAAAGTAAGAAATTGAAGAAATCAACATTGATGACGTATATTATTTTATTTTTCAAATCGGTGCTACAATTGTTTCGGTTTCTTTAACAAAACCGTCTTCAGCACCACCGGAAGAATAGAATATAAACATTTTTCATACAAATAAAAACGTATCATAATATAAAAGATTCTTACCGTCTAAATGTCGATGCATTTTTAGAGGAGTAACAAATATATACCATTTCAACAAACAAAACACCACATAGTTATTAATAATAAGCATTGTTTTTTTTTTAAATTTACAATTTTCCATTTCTTAATATAATACAATACAGGGTGCCCATTATGTATGGAATATAGCATATATTTTGGTAGGTACCGACTTTATAAAAAAAAACATTTTATACAAAAGTTGTTTAATATTTTATTTGCCATAATAAGACTGCATTCAATTGTTTTTAATTCAGAAAACAAATGAGTAACGAATAATACTAAAAATTTTTACATGGCAATGTATTCTTCCGTTAAGCTCATTTGATAGAGATTACTTTT